GAGTTTGAAAAGCAGTGTATTCAAATGCTAACATCCTGCCGATTCCGAAGTATTATAGGATTGTGCCGCAAGATAATCATTATTACAACCGCCCCTAAGTAATCCTTCCTAATCGAAAACGTATTCCAGAATTTCGGCCAATATTTAATGAGATCAGTCACTCACTGTACGATTCGCCTATTCGCGTGATGATCCGATGAGGTCTGTTATGCCTGGCAGTTCAGGCTAAAAGTGCTTCACCTGGGCTTACATTATCACGACCTAGTGGCACTGGAATGCCGACTCGGAGCTGTCAACTGCAGAACCCCTAGCGATAATGAAAAAATCACGAGAAAGAAAGCTATTATTCAGTGGTCTTTGATGATATCAGCAGGCCATTCATTCGATTTCTCCATTAGTTGCTATCTTCACAGCTACCCAGTCCAGAAGTTGGCATTTAAAAAAAATATCTCCAGCCCATCCTCACAAAGTGATTTTTACCCCCCGTAGGAGGCATGGTGGCTAGCTGTCCAGTAGGCATGCAGCAATCGCCCGCAGAATTGGTAGAATTGGGATAATTTTCGAAGCTCCTTTTAAAGGCGTTCAAATTCTAACCAGTTTTTCCTCGAAACCAAACAGCGAGCATAATAGTTGCGGAAGTGACCCAAAAATAGTTATTACAGAATAACAGTTGGGTGAAGGATGAACACGCAAAGAAAGAGAAGACGGGATATGCGATTTCTGACTTATTTCCTCTTGTCAACAACACTCACACCACAACTCTAGAAAAAATGGCTCGATATTCAGAATACCATTACCCAAAAGCACAAGGGAGACTGTACTAACCACTTCTGGCGTGTTGGCCGTCCTCAGCCAGCCATACCGGACTCCGGGGTATACAATCCCTAGGGCTCGATCCCTTGACCTGTTAATTTTAAGTCCAAGGACCTAACTACTGACCCCTGGACCCGTTTTCCTTTCGGTTGCGATCGAGTGCGTACACTGAGTCCTATAACGGTCACATATAGCGGTCACATCGAAGGACACATGAAACCGATAGAAGCGAATAGGCGAATTCCAGGAAGCAGTTCAAAAGGGAAGATGCTATTGCGGAACCAAGAACTTTATTGGCCTGGCGTTTCGGATTCTCACGCGAACCCATCAACAGAGACGTTCGCAGAAAAGGTTAATGGAGGTACAAGAGGTGCAGCCTTTGTAGGACGCAGTTGCCCGGTAACCGCATACCCACAGTAATTAACGGCAGTCGCGCTCATCTCTGGGGCTGTGTTTGATGCGATGATTGCATGTCGGTCTGACAACGCGTCCTCAGTGGCTGTGATTTCACCACCGTTGTTGATTTTTGGCGTGACGATCATTCGCCAGTTCGGCTCATTCTCACTGGAACTGTTTGCTGCTCGCACCCTCCTGGCATGGCTAATTACTTTGACCAGATAAAATCGCAGCACAGAATACAGCAGCGGAAGGTCATTGCGCTTGTTAAGTACATGTGGGCCAGCGAACCATGACTCAAGCAGCGGCTCACGGCGCACGCGGTTGTCACCTCTTGCGGTAATTTCACGCTTGTCAAACTTGGGGGTTTGATCGGGTCCCGTCGAATGAGTCGCGATCTGGTAGCTAGCGTCTTTCCTCAGCACTGAGGCCGCGCCGCATGTTCGTCCCTTCGCGTCAGACGTAATCTTCCAGTTTCTCCGGCTTAGTTGCGTTGTCCGCAATTGCACCAGATCCGGTAAACGGCCCGGTATGTGTCCTGCCGTGGCAGGGAATATTTCGGCATCATGACTGGTGGTTGCCTTTGGCCTGTGTGCAACTTTAATTCCAAATGGTATGAGAAGGCGGTTGACGGCTTCCGAGACTTTCTTCACGTACTGGAGGGCTCGCCAAAATGTGAGGCCGGTGGAATTGTGCGTCTCGTCGCGTTCACGCATGCGCCGGCTGACCAGGTTGCGCGGGTAGCCATTCGCCTTAGGCACCCGTCGAAGATGTTGTAGTTCAGCAGTCATGTCTTTCGGCTTGCTGCAACGCGTCTCGACATACCGGTATGACACCCTTACGTCAATGTGTTTGCTGTTGTTTGGGTATCTGCTGTTGAAGCCCAGAACTTGCGTCAATTCCCTGAACGCTTTAGTGTTTCACATCACCACACTCTTTGCAGAAGTCCAGCGGGTTGTTCTCTTCTTCCTCCATCGTGTATTGTGTGTCTGGAAAGATGGCGTCGAGATGCTAACTGAACGCCACCACCTGATTCCGTTTGCTGACGGCGAAGACGCCATCCATACACCGATCCCAGAATTTCGATCGTGATGTCGGAAGACCAGCAACTCCGACCATTGTAGGACCGCCTTAACTACGAGCCCCGAAATTGGTGGACCCATTGGCCTGCCTTTCACTTGCTGGTATTTTGTTTCGCCGAACGTGAAGCATGTCTTGAAACAGAATTCGGGCCTGTCTGAAGCGATTCTCCGTTTTATCGTACCTGTTTTATGGCAGTAATTCGACGGTCACGACGTCCAGATCCTACTGAATAGCAGTAAAAATGGACGTGGCATCAAAATACCATGATGTCGCATGATAGGATATTGACCCTTTTAAATGCGTCTAAGTATTGTAATGACGAGCTGATTGCAGTGTCTGAATCAGTGGTCAGAAAGTAAAGACAGTGAAATATCCACTTTACCAACCCGTAGGTCGGAGTCCCTTTGAGTGACACGACTCATCGGAGAGGAGCGCCTTATAAGTGCACTTTTTGGAGACCATAGAATCGCATCATGGTCGAGCATGCCGTGGAGATCGCCGTTTGAGATGGCCGAACTACCATGATTAGGAGTAGACACGTTGCTCGATTTACACCAGAGGTTAGGTGACTAGTGCGAGAGCTGGTTTCGGCCCTGAGCTGAATCTTAACCACGGTCTCCGGCACATTACCCTTACCCTAAACCCTGCCTCCCAAAAATGCCAGAGCTGTCCGAATATTGAAATCGGAACGGCACCTCCCTTAACTGTAACCCCAGCTTCCAACCACGGCCTTGCTCGCTGGAGCCAATCCACAGACAGGAGAGGGCGCATGCACAATCAGAGACAGGGGGGCGAGAGTTGAAGTCATAGATCCGGTAACCTCTGTTATTGCATCACCGCGTTTACGTTTAGCACACACTCGTGTGCCGGTTCCACTGAGTGATGAGTCACCGCACTCCTTGTCAAAATGGACACTGGCATCATCGCTGATGGGATGAGCTATCATCTTGGGAAGACGATATTGTTTGCTTTATTGTTCTTTAACTTAGCCCTTCTGCTATTTGACCAGTAGAGGATGCAGCCGTTTTTTTCGGTGCGGGGCATGCCCGCGCCGTCAAGGGTGCTGAAAGTTAAACACACCATCAAGTGGCGGATTTACATAGGATCCCCTGCTGGGTAATGACAACAATTTGGCCAAACATTTTTTGTCTGTGCTGGCAAAGCCCATCCTGCAGTCATCCTGTCTCAGGATAGTGACTTCCGTTTCAAGCCGAACGTTAGTACGACCTCACGCAGCGCTCATAGTTCCAGTATTGCTCAGTGAAAGTGTCAACTTTCGGATACTTTCTGCTCCGGAATTAATGACTCCCAACACTACTTTGGCCCTAACAGCCTGCTAGGAAATTCTAAAGTTGCATAGCTATAGGCTTGAAAAGCGCAGATTTGATGCATTGAAACATTGGAGCAGAATCCGTAAGTGGAACAAGAATGCACCCATTTTTCAATGATGCGTTTTAAAAGTCAGCAAACATTTGCCCTTCTCGGTTCAACATGGACATTTTCGAGCTGTTCAAGGAAAACTGATGATGTAGACAACAGAAACTAACACAGAAACTAGCACAACCCCGTTGAAATAAAGGAAGTATCGTGCTAACTGGTTGGTTTTGTAACCGAGAAATGGGTCGTTGTCCATTGTATTAAAACATTATGTTTTAATTATTTTCTGCTAAAAGGTTTTTTATAGGTCGAGGGGAACTCGCACTTTCTCTCTCCCCTATATCTCCCTTTTGGACATCCTCTACCTATATTCGAATCTTGCAACAATCCAGGATTTTTTAAATTAAAGATTCTGAACGGGAACCGTTTTCAGAGGTTCACAGCAGTATTTTGCACCCTCCCTCTTCACATTCTTAGTTCAAAAAACCAAGCTTCTTCCGATATCCCCCATACCTCATGGCATCCAGTTTATCTCACTGGCTGGAACTGTGAAATGAAGATGAGGGTTGGTGCTTATACGACACGATTCCCGTCCATCTTCCACGCTAGTTTGAAGGAGTCGTCAACTTTAGGCCCTGTCAGTGATTACCAAGAACCTTCCGTTTCTCTTCCTTTGAATGTTTGCTTAGATTCTCCCTCAGAGACCACTTTTATCCGCCGGCTAATCATTTTTGGGGTTACAATGGTGATTTGATATGTTAACTCTTCGTCAATTTGGGAAAACATTGGTAGACCTACTATAACCCAATTGGAAAAAAATGACCCCGCCGAAAGATCCGCGCATGCGGCCTTCCTTTGAATCTATGCGAGTTGAGATTTTATCTCAGTTAATTTCCCCTGCTAGTGTTTTTCGCGTCAGTTTAAATAAAAAGCTTGTTTGCACCGTTTGTAGGTGAAGTATGTCCTTCAGGATGTGTGGGACTCGAGCACTGGCGCACGGAAACACAATATATTCCGTCTGGACGAGATTACAGGCGAGCTGCAGGCCCTGGACGAACTGGATCGCGAACAGGTTGCCGAGTACAGCCTTCGTATCGCTGCCTGCGACATGGCTCAGCGGGACAGTCGCTGCACTCGCCTCAATGTCACCGTCTCCGTGATCGACGTGAATGACAATGAACCCGAATGGCTCTTCCCAGTGGGCCAGGATGAGGTGGTCAACGTGACCGCGGACGCCGCGCCCGGCCAGGTGATTGCCCAACTGGTTGCTCATGACCGCGACGCCGGTCAGAACGGACGAGTGCGCTATGCCCTCCATGATCCGCACAGTCAGGTGGCCTTCACAGTGAATTCCAGTACAGGTCAAATCACTGTGGTGGACAGGTACGCCTACCTGCCGCCCTCCGAGGCTGGGGGCAATGCTGCATTCATGAAGTCCAATGTTGCCCCACCGTCCCTCTATCCCGGCGTCTATAAACTGAGAATTCGAGCCTCCGACCTGGGTCACCCGCCTCTCTACTCGGACACATGGCTGACTGTGAGTT